ACTCGGTATTTTTTGCAAGAATTTCCCTTATGACTTCTGAGACTTGTTTTTTGCTGAATTAGACAGGAGCGCAGGATTGACTTATTGCGTTCTTGTTATGTAGGTTTCAACGTAGAGAAAGTCCAGTATAAAAATGTGGTATTTACGGTGTGGGATGTCGGTGGGCAAGAGAAACTGAGGCCTCTCTGGAGGCATTACTTTAACAATACTGATGGCCTGGTAAATAATCTCTACCTGAAAGCATGTGGGCAAATATTTGTTATTAACCTAATCTGGGAAGGCTTGCTTATTTTAAGTGTTATGTGCCTAAACCTTGTTATGGGTGCTGTACACTATTCATTATTAGTTAAGGTATTCTATTTTGGATAACTGAAGTCAGTACCAGTGCTTGCTATCCCCAGATTCTACTGCTACTGCCGTTTAATGAATTGTCATCTCTTCTAAGCTTTTGCATATAACATAAAGAAGATAATGTTGTCAATCCTGACTTACCTTTCATCTGTCGTACTTAAACCTGTTTATGCATTCTTTCTTGCAGATCTATGTTGTTGATTCCTTGGACAGAGAAAGAATTGGGAGAGCAAAAGCAGAGTTTCAGGTTTACTTCCTTTTCTTTATTGCTATTTTTGAGTTGGCTAATTACTGTTAGTCTTTTGAAGAAGTTGATTCTTTGATGTTGTGATTAATTATTTATATCTTTCTCTCAGGCGATTATCAGGGATCCTTTCATGCTTAACAGTATCATATTGGTCTTCGCGAACAAACAGGACATGGTATTGTCAACTGATGATTTGATAACAGTAGAGGATGTTGCCTTACTAAATTATAGCCATGTGTTTGCCTGGTTGCCTATATACTATCGTGAATTCCATGGTTTCATGTCAGTTGGATATTATTAAATTTTACAAGCACCGCTATCTTTATGTAGTACAAAAGGAAATGCATAGATTACTTTTATTGTATGCACTGAAGTGAAATTCTTCAGTGATTTTACAACTTCATACTGACTACTCTTATATACATTTGCTCCCTTTCAACATTTTCAACCGTATTTGAGATGATCTAATTTTAGTGGTTCACTGAATGCGTGAGACGTTTTTTGTTTTTGCTCAATAGTGATGGTTTTCTTAATTTTTGGTCAGTATTAGATGCCTCTATACTTGGTGAGTTGGGTCGGAAACATCATGCATGTGGGGTCTATATTTTTTGGACACTTTCGGACACTTCTTAACCATTACCTGAATTATATAATGTATTTTTAATTTGACTTATCACTTCTTCGACACACCCAGTATTTCTCATACACTGGTTTAGCAACATTACATGTTTGAGATTTTTTTACTTTTAATTTTATATAAAGATTATATTTTAGTGGAAGGTCATTAAAATATTAGCTTGTACAAAATTAGAGTTAGTATGAAAAAATGAGATGCATTATCTTGCAGAAAGTTGAAGAGCCAAGTCTTTTTCTTGGAAAGTCAACAAAATGTGTGGTAGGTTAAAAAATTTAGCATGTTACTTTGGCGATTGCGTTTTTCACATTATAGAAATATGTTATGATACTGACTTGTCCCAGCTTCCTTTTCTTAAAAATTGCCAGATCACATGACAACCTTCCAGATCCATCCAAATGCTTCTTAGGCATATGTTTTTCTTTTTTTAACTTTTATATTGATTTGCACAATGTAACTCTGAACATCTTTTGTCTCGTATAGTTTTCTTCCTGAATTTAACAAAACCATATCTCTGTTTTTTTTATTTTCCTTTTTTCCTTTCTTCAGAAAGGTGCAATGACACCGATGGAGGTGTGCGAGGGCCTGGGTTTATATGATTTAAAGAACCGTATATGGCACATCCAAGGGACTTGTGCCCTAAAAGGTGACGGCCTCTATGAGGGCTTAGACTGGCTAGCAAGTACATTGAAGGAATTACAAGCTTCAGGACGATCGACCTCAGCTGGCACTTCCTAATTCTGATTGCAAAAGGTTTTACTCAAATGCCTGACACACTTTTTGACTTTGTGTCTTATAATTTTTTGCTTCCACATTCTGACGCAAAGTTCGTGTCTCAGACTCTCAGGTGTCCAATTTGAGTGAAAATCCTTCGACAAGAAGCTGAAATTCATCAGCTGCTTTGCTTTGCTTTGATAACGATTGCGATATGATGTCACTGTTTTGGGATATATTAGAATTAACCTCTCCCCTTGTAATTTCCACTTGCCGTCTTGAAACCTTTGCTTGCCTGTGGGGAGCTATTTAGTTATGTAAATGCAATGGTTGACATGAGATAAAGAGTGTTTCAAAAGTATATACCGTGCCTACATCATTACAAATTGTGGTGACTTCTGGCTATGTGATTTACTATTCTTGGTGTGTAGCAGCCATCGTGTTATTATTGGATGTTGCTTTCTATTTGGTGGATGCATGAAACTTTTGAGAGTTGAGTTGTAGTTTAGGCCTATGGCTTCTTGTAGATCAGGTTTGTGAATTTGCCTAAATGAAATTATTTCAGCTGATTTTTGGTTCCTCAAAGCCAATATGTGAGGTAAACTTGGATATAGGTGAACATATCTTTATCCCCTCGTTGATGTTTGTACATTTTCTCTACATTATAATTATGCTAAATCGCACTAAAATACCTTATGTTTCACTACTTTAGCCCTATACTATCAGTTGGTTTTTTGAGTATTTATATATTTTAAAGCTAGCAATTTAGCATCCTTTATTATATAAACGTGAAATTTTTTATCCGGAAGTTCTTTAATATTTCAAAATGAACGAGAATATGTTTAAATTAGAATTTGGTTAGGGCTATAGTAAATTTAACAAATATTAATGACTAAAATGCTCTAAAATTAATATATGAATATTATATGGGAACATTTGTGTGAATTTTTTTTCGTTTATATAAAAGAGGGTACTAAATTGCTAACTTCAAACAACTCAAAGTATATAAATGCTTCAAAAAATAACTAAGGGCATGTAAGTGCTAAAGTGAATGAAACATAAGAGTAAAACTCCTATCGACTTAAGTTGATGTTAACCAAACTTTCTAACCACTCATTTATTAATATAAAAAATATTTTCATATCATGCAAGGATCCCTAGACAATATGAGTGTTTAAAAGTTTGGTGGACAACTTTTTGCTATCCACTTAAGTTGACACAAGTTTTGTTCTGAAGGACAAATTTTCAAAACCGACCCTTTTGGGTTTTTAATTGCAAAAAACGACCGGTTTTGAAAATATTTACAAAAACCGACCTGTTTTCAGCCAGTGGCTGAAAACAGGTCGGTTTTTGTAATTTTTTTTGGGAAACTTCACGGGAGTTGAACTCCTGTGAAGTTTTTCTCATAACAAAACTTCACGGGAGTTGAACTCCCGTGAAGTTTGAGAATTTTTTTTTTAAAAACCGACCCAGTTTCAACCAACTGGGTCGGTTTTTATAAATAAGATTGAAATGGGTCGTTTTTTGCAATTAAAATCCCAAAGTGGTCGGTTTTGAAAATTTGTCCTTTGTTCTGAAACATAAGACATTTTAGTGCAATTTGCTTATAATATTGGTGAAAGGCAGGCAAAGTTCTTAGTTTTTATATGGGCTTTTCTAGATATTGGTTACTTGAATTTTTTTTATTTTTGGAATTAGTCTCTCAAATAATTTAAATTGCTATTTAGTCTCTCACAATTTATGGTTATTTCAAATAAGTTCCTTTATTTTGCAACCACATCGGAGATTTCTGTTTTAACTTAAATCCGAAAGCAAACGCCTTTCGTTAAACCTAAACCCATAAATCGCCACAACACGCACAAAAAGAACACCCTTTCAGTTTCCATCTTTAATGCACGACGGTACAGTGATTCAATTTCCATTTTTACCCAGTACAGTGAATCAACTTCACTGCAATTTTCTACAAGGTTTTTTTGCATATGTACCCTTTCATATTTTCAAATTTACACTTCAAATCTAGATATTGGCAGAGTTGCCCCCAATTCTGTCCCATTGATTTTTTTCCTACGCCTCTAGCTTAACTATTTTGATTTTTAAATGGTAATTGTTGCAAACTTATTAGAAATTTTCACATGGCCTTGTTCAGAAACCAACACTGTTAAGATGGAGGTGGCAGAAAAGAGACAACATGCTAATCTTGGGGGTAATTTGGCAAATACCGATATTTGGAATGTACAAATATGAAAGATTTATCTGAGAGGTCTTTCCACAAATAATGAATCCTCGGTGACAAACTTGGACAAAATTTGAAAAGCAACAAATTTCTAAAAATAATTGTAAAAAACAATTTGTTTAAAACTTATTTGTCAAAAGCAACTCAGTTTCAGCCAGCTGGCTGAAATTGGGTCGTTTTTGACGAAAAAAAATACCAAACTTTACGGGACTTCAAATCCTGTGAAGTTTTGTTATGTAAAAAGCTTCACATGACTTGAGGTCCCGTAAAGTTTGATAATTTTTTTTTACCAAAAACAACTAGTTGAAACTGGGTCGTTTTTGGCAAATAAGTTTCAAACATGTAGTTTTTGATGAATAAGGTTGGAAATAGGTTGGTTTTCGAAATTTGTCATGACAAAACTTTTTCGGCTGAGGAGGGTACAATTGTCATTTAATATTTCAACAAGAAAGCGAGCAGATAACGATGTATAGCACAGTCCCCAGCCGGAGCAACCATTCCCTTCCCAAAAGCACAATAATGGCGTCCGCCTCCGCCGCCCCCTCCCTCGCCTTCTCCGTCTCTCTCCGACCACCCACCTCCAAAATCCCCATCCTACCCCCAATCCAAACCCAAAACCCCCCAAAAACCAACCTTCTCAGAATCCGCTCCCAGTTCCACCGCCCCCTCGAAGAAATCTACAACGTCCGCGTCGAGCGCGGAGTCTCCAAAGACCGCCTCAAAGATCTCGGCGTCGGCCGGTGGTCGACTTGGAGAACCGGCAAGTGCCAGTTGCCGTGGGACTGGCACGTGGACCAGCTGGTCTACGTGGTCAGCGGCGAGGTCAGGGTCGTGCCCGAGGGGGCCAAGACCGGGGAAAATTACATGAGGTTTGTCGCCGGCGATTTGGTTCGGTACCCGAAATGGTTCGAGGCCGATTTGTTCTTTGACGGGCCGTACGAGGAGAAGTATCGGTTTCTTGCTTATGGTGATGATTAATAAGGTAAAATTCTCCGTTTTTTTAAAATTTTTGGGTTTTTCCATTCGGAGGTTTTCGAGCTGGAAATTGGGGTTTTAGCACTGCTGCTTCTTAGCACGGGCATTCCACGTGCAAGAAACTTCTGAACTGTGCAAGTCATATGGCAAATTGAAACCCAGAAGGTTGATTGTAACTCTAGCGAAGTTGAATCTCGGATTCTGAGAACTTTTGGGTAGTTTTTACTTATGGTTTAATTAAGGCTATACTTGATTGTTTCTGGAAATAATTGATGATCGGATATTAGACGCGTGTGTGCTATTGTGTTGTTATCACGTTTTTCTCTATTTTGAGGTCTCGAAGCTGAAAAATAGGGTTTTATTACTGCTAGTGTTTGTTCAGGCATTGCACGTTTAAGGAACTTTACAACTGTAGTTTGATAAATTTGATGAAAATTTAGTAGTTTGATAGCATTATGATGTTTATGACGCGAGATCACAAGCCGAACATGAAATACAATTCAATAACAAGTTAAACCCTCAAAGAACTTGCATTGTAACAATACTAGAAAATGTGTCTAACAAGCGGTTTCAGCTACCTTGTTCAGAATTCCTTTTCTCATACATCTCATGCTGTCAAAAATTTTAAATTATTAGCATGCATATAAATCCGAAAAAAATAAATTTAACAAAAACTAGCCTGATCGGGTAGCAGTCGCGCAAATCAATGCACTGCCCTAGAAGATTGATGACCCGTCTATCGTCCTAAAGCAAATGATCCTCTCTCTCCTAGCGGTAAAAACCTCTGGAAACGGCCGGCCTCTGTACTCGGATGATAGTATAGAGCTTCTGCTCAGATGAAGATGATTGCCCAAAAATAAGCAAAACAAAGATTTTTGTAGAGAGAGAAAGAAGAGTTTTTCTAGTTTTAAGAAGAAGACAGAGTAGAGAGGGGAGGAGGCTTTTCGTTTCTGTGTTTTTCTGAACTGGGTTACATGAAGTATTTATAGGGTTTTGAAGCTCAACCAAATTCGCCACGTTTGCCAAATAATGAGCATCAGTTTTAACTTCCTGCAACTCAGCGCATGTTTTCCAAAACGTGTGCATGATCTAGCCGTTTCTATTTGCCAAGTCAAAAGAAAACGTGTAAAATAAAATTTGAAGAAAAAACAAAACCGAAAAAGGCGAGGCAGGCGCGCGCGCGTGTTAGCCAAAACCCAAACAAATGAAAGCCCAAAATACCCTCTCATTGGGGACACTCAAAGCCCAAAGGGAAGAAAGCCAATTTAAACAACCCCCATACACTAACTTAGTCCATGTAGGACTATTGTTTGAAGGCAAAATTGGTTTTTCTCCCACAACATAGCCAACATCTCACTACTCTATGCTATATGAAGCACTTTTAGCTCGTGTGCAACATCTGAGCAGGGAAAGAATATTGGAAGTACCATTTTAATGCTCTGTTTGGCAGTCCAATTTGCAAATTATAGCCACGTTCAACTTCCCAGTTTGGCTGAAGTCTCGACTTGGAGCCTTGTAATCTCAGGAGAATATAGTCAGATAGGTACATCATAAACTGTCGTGTATTAATGGTACAAGGAGGGATCAAAATTATATTTTCATTTAACTTCAAAAAGTATTTGGTTGCTACCAAAATTTATCTTTTCTAGTCAAGCTTCTTTACGGTACAAAGCCATGATTTCACCCCACAACTATATTGCAGTTGTTGGTGGAGGTGTTGGTTCATAGTGAGGGTTTGGATTATTACCTTTTAAGCTGAAAGGGGTCTCAACCAATTTCTAAATCCTAACTTTTTAAATTCCTTACATTGAGCAGGTAAGTAATAGGTGTGCAATGACCTGAGCTTCATGCTGCTCGCTTATTCAATTATGTATGAGGTGCAAACTTGCTTAGATATAGTAATATTAGGATATCTACTTTTCTTTATTTTAGTCCTACATTGATTAGGATTGTAGAACCTCTTCTCTTACTCTTGTATTTAAACAGTTCAATACAATGAATAAAGCAAATCATTTTCTCCCAAAAGCTCTATTCTTAACATGAGATCAGAGTCATCCTCTTGATTCCAGATATCTCTTTCTTCTTCCTCTAGATTGAACCGCCGAGGGGGTTTTGCTGAAAACTCCGCGCTTCTCTTCGGCGGTCTTAATGCCGGATTCAACCTTTACACACAGCCTCATCGTTCACAACCTCTCACCGTCCTCTGCTCACTGCAAAACTCTAGTTCATTCGGGTATTGTTCACCGCTATCCGAGTTATTAACGACCCTGTTCATCCGGGTACTATTTCAACCGGTGTTAGAGTTATTGTTCATCCTAAACCTCTTTTTGGCCACCACTGTTGCGAAGGATAACCCTCGTCATCGTCGATCAGCTCTGACCAAGTCGGACCTGTTGGTCGTCATCATCCTTGTGGCTTCAACTATTGTCCAAACCCTACCGCTGCAAACTCTCACCTTGCAAAACCCTAGCAGTTCCTCCATCGCAAAACCTCTGCTTGCCAACACGACCACCGCTGCGATTGGTGTAATTGCACAAACTATTCATGGCATGCACACAAGGTGTTCGACGAATTGCCTTAGCGAGATTTCTCGCTCCTTGGACAACCTCGGGCCAAGCTCTCTCCAGCCAAGCGTTTTCCACTCACCGATGCTTGCAAGATCTGATCATCGGGCCTCCTCTCGCAACCATAGGTCGCCCTCTCGACCACCGTGCGTAATCGTCGATCACCGCTGCAACACCATACTTCGCCGCTTGCAAGATTTAGTCACCACGCCTTCTCCCGCGACTGCAAGTCCGCCCTCTTGTAACCACTGTGCATGACTGTCAATCATCACTGCAATAACATGATATTGTCTTCTGTAATTCCAGCCACCGATGTGCTCCAATTCAACCACCTCTCACCAAGCAATGACAACAACCATCTATGCAAAATTTTACTCATCCAAACTCGCGGTTCTTACCAACCGTGAGTTTGACGAGGGGTGTTAGATATAGTAATATTAGGATATATGCTTTTCTTTATTTCAGTTCCACATCGATTAGAATTTTAGAACCTCTTCTTTTACTCTTGTATTTAAGCAGTTCAATACAATGAATAAAACATATCATTTTCTCTCAAAAGCTCTATTCTTAACAAAACAATGTCCAAGGCTTGGCTCCTCAAGTTCTACAGCGAGTATGCACTGCTTTTAAAGATCTCAAGCAGCACATCAGTTTCTCCAAGGTCATTTAATAATGTGGTTCTAAAAACCAAGTTTTTCCTCAGTCATGCTCAGTGACGATCGTGTACTGATGAAGCTCCTTGCACCAATTCATGCTAGTTGATGTCCTAAAAGAGAGAACAATTATTTCTTATGAGGACTGACTGTAATAGAAAAACTCTTTTGCTGGTCATTCATGCTAATCGTGATAATGAATCTTGATGCCTACATGTCTTGTAGGGTCACATCTCCTACCAGTTGCTAAGTATTCAGTTAAATGCTAAAATTGTAGATTTAAATACAACAGAATGATTTATGGGTTTGAACACAATTTGACCTAGAAAGTGCTTTGGGTCCAAATTTATGTTCACGGTGTATCAGATCCCTCTGTTCAAGATGAGACTAGTTCAACGGGTGTACCCATTCTCCAGAATTTAACCATCCTTTGACTGTTTTCTTGTTCATACTGAGTTGACTGGATGCAAGATACTCCAAACATCAACCACATTGAGTATGCATAAGATGTTCAACCTGTAGTATGCATCACATTCAGCACAATATTTTCATGCAGGGTCATTCCTTATGTTTTAGTTATTTATTTATTATCAAGTCAGATAAGCTAATAAACTTTCACATGCTCACTAGCAGGTCTCTCACATGTAGTAGACATGTTATTGACCTTATTTGAAATGTTCCTTCCCTCCTCCTTTCCAAACAAACAAATAACATTAGTTTGATCTAATGGCTTTGCTCGTCTTGGCTACACAGCTTGATGGCAACCTTGTAAAGTGGATAAAATTTATCTAAGAAACTAAACCAAACAACATTGAGTGAAACATTACCTGTAAATTTCCGAAAAGGTCAATTATCATAAATCTGCTTTCATTTTGTCTTTTTATTTCTCAGCCGTAAAGCATATTTTTGCAAATGATTGTTATTTTTATATTGTCAGTTTATATGTCATCTGATATATGGTTCTTTTTTTCTTTGATTCCTACAGCAGGACGAACATGTAAAAGTTCAGAGTGGAATATACACAGATCTTGCGTGGAAATCTCAACGGTATAGAAAGATGAATTACATGATGGAGTACCAGCAGAAATCTCAATGGTATAAAATGATGAATTACTTGATGGAGTCCCAATGGAATCACCACGATTTAAATGTTTTACTAGAATTCTTGTGAATTTTGTTTCGACCTATGGTTTGTTAGGGATTTTTGATTCGTGTAACCTAAGATCTAATGGATTTTTGATTCGTGTAACCTAAGATCTAATGTGTAACATAGTTGCTACTTGAACGTAAGTTGATCCCTCAATTTGCAGATGATAGAGCTCGGCTGAATTTACTTCTACTTTTATGATGTTCTTATGAATGATCATGCTCTGCAAGTTCTGATGCGGTTTCGTCAAAATTAACGATGGTATGAGATAAAATTCGTGCTATATTTCTGAAGCAATTGATCATTTCCTGCATTCAATTTTGTATCTTTTGTGGAATACGATTGTTCTCCAATTTGGAGGATTGACATCAACTATTATTTAGGGGCTGTTTAGTTCGTTCGTTTCCCATTTATCGGGAAACACCATTTCATGTAAAGAAACCCAAATTTTGGGTTTTACTACTTTTTTAAGAAATAGATTGTTTGAGTTTGGTTCACACATAAAACATGGTGTGAAACCGATGTACACACTTTTCTTGTGTTTGTTTGATATCTAAAAAAAAAATTGTTGATTAGTCATTTCTCATTTTTCTTGTGTTTGGTTGATATTGAAGTTTATATGGAAAAGTGTGTATGAAAACAAACAATTTGTCCCCTTGCTTTGATTTCACATCCCAGTTTCCTCGATCAGTGTTCATCAATCATGCATCTCCTCTAATATACTCATTGTTCTTTATATTTTTTATAACAATGATAAATTTAATAGCAAACTCATCTAGTAACTTAACCCAAACCCAAGTAAATCAGTGAAAGAAACCCCTAAATTTAGAACAAGGGAAATGCTCAAACTGCTTTAATTCGCTTCATAACAAACCCCAAACATCCAAATGAATCCAAATTCTTTCTAAATTGCCCTCTTACTGAGTAAAAAACATGCAAGAGGCCTAAGATCATAAGACGACAAAATAACTACATTAAAAAAATTAATCATACATGAAATTGCCGACTTTGACCAAATCAAGCAACAATCGGAAGAAATTCCCTAAGAAAGGCGTTGCCTTTTTTCGAGATCCAACAAAAATCGAAGAAATCAATAGAGATCCAAGGCAGGTTAAAGAGGGAAAACCGAAAGCAACCAATTATTGTCCAAGGTGCGAAGAGAGAAATGGTGGGACTTGGCGATAACCCTAGTCAACTGAGTGATTTCCCTAGAAATTGTTGTAGATCCGACAAAAGGACACAAGAGGAGATTTTTAGGGGCTTTTCCACTCAATTTTAGAGGAAATTGTGATGAGTGATTTGGCTGAGGTGGAGATGTTTTTCGCTACTGTAAACCCTAATTCTCTTCGTGAACCAAACTCATACAATGAAACGAAGGGAAAGAAAAAGTCTTATGTGGGTACTTTGTTGGGAGAAGGAAGTAGTTTTCGGGCCTCCTTTTAGCGAACCAAACACCCCCTTAATGGGAAAAAGATGCATAGCCAGGATCTAAGCCCTTCCCAAGTGCATGAAAACCAGTACATTATCTGACGGTGATTTTAAGCGACCTTCGTATTATTCATATGCCACCAATCCAAGTTATGCTTACCTGTGCAGTTACTGGATTAACATCTTCGTCAACAGACAGCTAATGGCTTAATGCAGAATTTCATAAACAAAAATTCAGTGAATTCGACTAGTCGAAATATTGGGGGAAATCATCAACTGAATAAATTAGTTTAGTAAAAACTTTCACAGACTCGGTTAGCATTTATGGCAGTAGATCTTTGTTCTTAAACATAGCTGATTAAGAATTATTCCAGAGACAAACACCTTTATCACTTTCTCATAATAATTCTATTTAGTTCTATTAACGCTATATCTGCAATAGCTAGCGCTGGAAGGTTCCATTAAACACATGAAAGCTAAATTATCAAATTAGCATTTTTAGCAGGATCGTGTTTACGATATAATATTTTTTAGTGTTATAATATTAATACTGAAATTAATATCAATTTGCTTTTTTATCCATCTATATATAAAAGATATCAATCTGATTTATTTCTACTGCTACAAAAGCTGATATTAATATGATAATGTTGCTGGTAAAAGAAAAATGGCATGCTCCGACTGAATATATCAATGTTGTAATTTTGCCGAATTAATTTACTGGGAAAAGAAAAGAAATAAAAACAGGAGAAGAGAAAATTGGAGTTATAGGTAAGTATGTTTCCGCTTAAGGGGGTTAAATGTAATTTACCAGATTCAACCCTCCGAAGATTCTCCAGTTCGTTTCAGTTCCCTCCTGTCCACAGACACCTCCGCCACTGCTCCTCACTCCTCCCACAAATTTAACTCCCGATTATCGTCTCTCTCTCTCTCTCTCTCTCCCCTCCGCGAGTTCGTTAACATGTGAATTTCCCCACAAAAATAAAATAAAATAAAAAGGGTAAAAGGAAATTGAAACCCTAACCCTAATCTCCCATCAAGATGTGCTCCTGCAGCGATCTAGGGCACCGCAGCTCCGCCATGCTCGGCAACCGAAGCGCAAGGCTCCTCCTCCTCCCCTCGTCCCTCCGCGGCATGGCGAGATTTGGATGCGTCCTCGGAG